TGGACCTGCTGTACTTTGGAAAGTCTGATCCTGGCCGCCAGACCTCCATTCCTATATATGAAAGAGTTCCTTTCCTAGAGATAAGCGTCCCAAATGAACCTAAAGGTGAGACAGCAATCAGAAAAAAGTTGTAAAAGCATCTTCAAAATGAAAAATAGGTTAATGGAACAGGATTTTGCCTGCTACAGAGTAGAGTATCTGCTGAAGTCTGACTTCGTCAAACGCTGACGCACATGTTCTTCGCTGTTATTTTATTACATGCAGATCATGTAACTATGGGAAAATTGATTTCAACTGGAATTTCCAATGATTCCTAAAATAAGCATGATATACACAGAATAGCCAAAACAGTAGGACCACCCCCCCATGTGAAGCGTGTCAAGTTTTGGAACAAGGTTTGCAACAGAAAATGGGATTCATCTGACTAGATAACCTTCTCCCATTGCTCCAAGGTTCAGTTCCAACTCTTGCACGCCCATTGTAGGAGCTTTTGACAGTCGACAGGGGTCAGAATGGGCACTGACTGGCTTACAGCTACATAGCCCCATACACTGCATATGATGCCTTGTGTGTCTTGACACAGTACTCCCATGATCATCATCAAAATTGTCTGCCATTTGTGCCACAGTAGTCCTTCTGTTGGTTTATACTGCATGGGACAGCATTCATTCACATCTGAGTCTTGGCCGCCCAACACCCTGTCGGTGGTTCATGATTCTTTCCCTCCTTAGACCACTCTCAATAGGCACTCACCATGGCTGGCCATGAGCATCCCACAAGCCTGTTTCTGAGATACTCTGGCCCAGTCCTATGAACACAATGACTTGGCCCTTGTCAAAGTCACTTAGATCTTCATCCCTGCCCATTTCATCAAGAAGTTGACTACAAGTACCAAATGTTAGCTTGTGTCATCAGATCACTGGTTTGAGCTCCAGCCTCGGCAGAATAGTCACATGTCCTTGGGCCCTTGGGCGAGGCCCTTAATCCCCAACTCCAGGGGTGCTACACATTGGCTGCCATCTGTGCTATTACCCCAAGCTATGATGGGGTCGGTGAAAAGAAGCATTCCAATGTACCTGTACTTGTACAAATGGCAAATAAAGCATGTTTGTTTGTTTGTTAGCTTAAAATATCGCAGACCTTGACGTGCACTGATTTTACTAGATAGTCAATGTTATTAGCTTCATGTGGGGGTCATAATGTTTTGGCTCATTGATGTATATGTAAAGTTTATCTAGTTGCAGTGTGTCCCCTTTGAACACAGGTGCAGAATTGGCAGAAAAGATGACCTCAGTTCCACGCATCATCAAAACACATTTTCCTGTTCAGTTCATTCCCAAGTCCTTCTGGGAACAAAATTGCAAGGTACAGCTATATACATTTTATGGTTGATGATCACATAACACAGCCAACCTGAAGTCGAATTTGTTTGTGTTTTTCTTCACACAGATCATTTATGTGGCCCGTAACGCAAAAGACAATGTTGTGTCCTACTTTCACTTTGACCGCATGACCATGGTGCAACCTGAACCTGGAGACTGGCCCAGTTATCTGCAGAGGTTTCAGGAGGGAAAATGTGAGTAGATATGGGGGAAATTATGAGTGGGATTGTGCAGGACCGTGCAGAGTGAGTGACTTGAGTATGCAGCTTCCAAGATGTGTAAGAAGGAGTGGGTCAATAGAGAGCGGTAGCATCAATGTACCCAAACCATTCATCCAGTTTCAGAAACTGCATATGCATGCCCAGACACACAATTTTGTAACTCCAATTAGCCTTTTTGGACTGTGGGGGGAAACTGGAGCACCTAGAGGAAACCCCATGACGACATGGGGAGAACATGCAAACTCCACACATGGAACACTGGCAGAGACTCAAACCCAGGTTCCAGAGATGTGAGGCAACAGTGCTAACCACTGAACCACCCTTATCCCAACCCTTTCATTATTAAAAATAGTTTTTTTGGTCATGTGACATGCATTGTCGAGATGGCAATTTCGGCACCCAGGATCGATCCGTTCTGAAGACATCCGAAACTTCTGGTCTCGATACGGAGTTTACGAAATGTTTCGAAACATCAGTCACGTGACCGCCGTGTCATTGTTCACGTCAAGAGAATAAAACTATTTAAAAAAAACCTGGAAAAAATCGAGGCTTGTTGGTTTGAGCAAGTAGTTTGGCGATCATTATTATTTGAAATCCAATTGTATTAGTGAAACAGGTTAGCAGTTAGTGTGATTTATGCATAAATATAGTGAGGGACATATAGTAGGTGTAATATGAAGGTTTTGCTTAGATTCAGTTAGAATCATAAATCAAAAAGCTATAGTACGCATAGACACATAGATTACATATACATATATTAACATTGCTAACATAGACAAAGACTGTTGTTTGAAACTGCGTTTTGCACTGTTCTATTCTATACAAATTAATTAAAACTAATAACCTGCTCAACATACACAAACCTAGATAGGATGAGTATTCTAACCTCAGTAGCTAATTAATTACTATGCACACTCAATACTCGGATGGTATGTAAATACAGAAATTATGTTTTAACAATACACAACCATGGGAACAAATAATCTCTATAAATGATATAAGACCAAATTTAGGTTTTGATTGACTGGGGGAAATTCTGGTGCATACAAATAATCAATACTTTATTGACCCCTGTGGAGAAACAGTCTTTATGCCTCCCTCAACTTGCTCTTTGTAGAGTAAACTGTCCATGAAGGGCTGCCACCCATACAATAGCAGCACCCAGGGAGCTGGGGGGTTTAGGGCCTAGTTTAAGGACCTGCAGATGTACTGAGGCTGGGTTTGAACCGGCGACCTCCTGATTATAAGCACACAGGCTTAGCCCACTGAACCACACGCTGCCCCTAATACGCAAACAATGTAGATAATGCCAAACAGACAAAGTACAAATACTGTACACATGCTGCAAGCAAAGTAAACATACTGCAGCAGATTAAAAAAGTACATAGTGCATAATGGATGTAAAATCTTGAGGAGCAGAATGTGAAACTAAACGTGAATATTTAAAGATGAGAACAATAATCATCTGCAAATAAATTACGTGCAGTTAGTACACAAGGCATCAGATTGTATTATAACAAGAGAGGATGCTTCCTGACGTATTATGGCTATGGATGGAGAGTGTAACGTCTGGAGAAAGTGTGATGTCGGTCTCCATTTGTCTGATGGCTTCGGGCAGCGATAATCCCCAGTAGCATTTTTAGCACAGCATGGTGGAATGAGCCGGTGGCTAAATATGCTCCATTATAGAGCCACGGAAGTGGACGTGCAGACTTGTACATAATATTGCTAACATCCTCTTCTCTGCTTCTGATATTAGTGCGAGAGAGGTTTCGCGACCAGACCATACACAAGAGACATTAATAATCCAACGCTTTTATGATTCGTAATAGTTGAATTATGGTTGGCAAAAAGTTATCACACGCTAATTGCAGATATAGGATATCTATGACAGAATATAAAAATAATCAAAAAGAAAATACATTGTATTATACGGTGGCCGAGAAGGGCAAATCAAATTAGCATTGCATAAAACAAATTAACATTTCATTAAACAATTAAAAAATTAAGTAAAATTCATACGTAAAGCAATCTGGGAAACAACCCTTACGAAAATTAACCATGGTTTTACTATGATTAAATAACCATGGTTTACAATGGTTTGCCGTTTTTCATGGTTTTTTTTGTAACTATGGAAACCATGACTATGATTTTATCATGGTTTCGCTACAGTTAAACCCTAGTATAATCTTGGTCATTGTTATGATTCGGCAAGCAGGCGAGAGGGGAAGCAGGCGAGTAGAGCCAAGCGGACGGGCAAACAGGGTTTATTCGGAGAAGACAGGGCAAACAGGCACGAACTTGCACGAGACTTGACAACATCAATGACCAATCTGGGAGATAGTGGGAGATGCAGACTAATATGCACAGGACCAGTCAAAAGGAAACAGGAAACAGGTGAGCACAATCAGGGTTTAACACGAGGTAATGAGGTGGGCGTGGCACACACGAGGATTGGACGGAGCTGGGCGTGACAGAACCCCCCCCCCAAAGGCGGGCACACCTGGCGCGCCCGAGGGGAGGCGACGGACGAGACGAGGGATCAGGACCTGAAAGACAAAAACCAAGACATCAATGGGGCACAGGAAACAGGACGGAGACACAGAACAGACGCAGAGACAAGAAGAAGGACAGGACCCGACAAAGAACAGGAAACGCAGACGGAAAAGGGCGACACGGAGGGAACACCCACAGGTGACACGAAGGGGCCAGGAGGGAACAGGAGGAACAGAGGGATGAGGAGCAGACAAAGGCGGGACGAAGGGAGGAGGAGCAGACAGGGGAGACCAGACAGAAACGGACGTGGGGAAAAAGGGAGCCCGAAGGAACCCAGACGGGCGACGGGCAGCGGCCAGAGGGGCCGCAGGCGAGAGGGAGGAGGGAGCAGGAGGGGACCACACAAGGGCCAAGGGAACGGGTCAAGGGAGTGACAGAGGAGACACAGAGGGAGCAGGAGGAAACACCGGTGCAGGCAGGCAGGAGGGGGAAGCTGCGGCAGGCGAAGGCGCAGCCGGAGCCGTGGAAGGCGCCGTCCGACGCCAAGTCAAAGCAGGGGGGCCCAGAGGCGGCCGACACGGAGCCGGAGGCGGGACCGAGGACCGGCACCGAGGAACCAGGGGGGGACCCGGAGGAGACCGCCGACCCAGAGGACCCGCAGACAGCCACCGAGCCACAGCCAGGGGCCGAACGGGCGAGCCAGGGGGCAGGGCGGGCGGGACCCAGGTCCTGGGGGGTGTCGACCTCGCCGGAGCAAGGGAGTCATCAGGGATGTAGCCAGTGAGGACGTGGGTGGGGTGGACGAGCAGGGCTGGACAAACGAGCAGGGTAGGACGGGCTGGACTGACGTGCGGTCAGCAAGGGGCGCCCCAGGGGGCGCCTCGGCCGTGAGTCCACCAGGGGGCGCCTCGGCCGTGAGTCCACCAGGGGGCGCCTCGGCCGTGAGTCCACCAGGCGGAGGTGGGGCCGTAGCAGATGCCTCGGGCAGAGCGGCAGAAGATTGTTGGGGCAGCTTCTTCCCCTTTTCCTCTGCGCTTCTTCTTCCTCCTGTGGCTGGGGCAGGTCGGTGGAGGCGGGGTTACCTCCGAGAAGGTGAGCGGTTGTAGTTGCTTCGCTGTCACGTCGCCGACGAGCCTGCGCACTTCCGCCAGTGCGTGCGCTTCGTTGAGCGGGATAACCTCTTGAAGGAGGGTCTAGCTTTGGTTGGCCAGATCAGTCAAGCAGGGATCCGTTTGGACCTCCGGCTGATCCCGCCAGTACTGCACCTATAGCAGCAGAACGAGCCATGGATCCTCGTCCTGTAGCGGTGAGTCGTTGGGGAGATCGGTCATTCTGTTATGATTCGGCAAGCAGGTGAGCGGGGAAGCAGGCGAGTAGAGCCAAGCGGACGGGCAAACAGGGTTTATTCAGAGAAGACAGGGCAAACAGGCACGAACTTGCACGAGACTTGACAACATCAATGACCGATCTGGGAGATAGTGGGAGACGCGGACTAATATGCACAGGACCAGTCAAAAGGAAACAGGTGAGCACAATCAGGGTTTAACACGAGGTAACGAGGTGGGCGTGGCACACACGTGGATCGGACGGAGCTGGGCGTGACAGTCATAAACCATGGTTTTTGTTTTACCGTGGTCTTTCCAAACCATGGTAGTACTATGGGTAGTACCAAAGTACCACGAGCTACCATAGTAAAACTATGGTTACTGCATAAAAACCATAGGAAACCATAGTGAATTTTCATAAGGGAAAGGGGTGTGTAACAATCGCTTTGAGCCCAAAATGCTAAACCACCATGTCATTACAGTTGAAAGGACATATTATATTAGCTATCAACACGAATTTGCACAAATCACGAAATGGTTTGAAGCGCAAAAAAAATCGGTGTGCATCGTTGTCTGTGTACTGCACATTACAATTCTGTCATTACAAACGCCCCACCTTACTTCCGTTAAAAGTTATTAAAGCCAGAAAATTGAATATCGAATATGACGCTAACTTAACCGCGGTGACGTTTCCTACAGGAAACATAAAAGCGAGCCAGTTGGCTGTAATAATTACTCCCATAAAACGGACAAAACATCACGTCTCACGCTCCGTTTACTTCACCCGGCGAAACTGTTTGACTGACACGGCACAAACTTTCTCTGTATCGTACCTACCCTTTCCCTGTGATTCTCCGCTTGTAAATTTTTGTCAGTGATTGGTAAAAGTGTTTCGCGTGTTGTAAATTTGTTTTCACTTTTGTAAATTGGTTTTGGGACTGGTACAAGTGTTTTGCATATTGTAAATTTGTTTTTATTTTTTTTATATTGTTTTATGATATGTTGATTTGTTTTACGATATGATAATTTGTTTTATGCAATGTTAATTTGATTTGCCCTATTCGGCCACCGTAGTATTATACACACTTTTGACAGTTCGAGCTTCGTGACATTCGAATCTTGCCGCAATAGGTATTGCCGTATTTGCTATAGCTGCAGTTCCGGTTTTTGCCGGCAGGCTGTGCACAGCTAGTGCTTTGAAACTTTTCGAAGCGTTTCGAAACATTGTCTCGAATGTTTCGAAATTGTTTTGATGATTCGAAATTGCCATCTCTAATGCATTGCCACACTCTCTTTTCACCCTACTGTCCCAGTGGTTTTTGGCTCATGGTACGACCATGTGAAAGGATGGTGGGAGAAAAAGCAGACATACGCCAACATCCACTACATGTTCTACGAAGACCTTTCTGAGGTGAGAACCTGGAAATAGTCCAGCAACAGACTAAAATAACGCAAATGTCAGTAACAAAGGCAGGTGCAGTGAATATGAACCGCTAAGTAACACAGATTAGGTTGTTGTATTGCACCGTCATTCTAAATTCAGACTGCTGTGTTTCTTAGGACACGGCCCAGGAGATAGAGAAGATCTGCTCCTTCCTGAACATCTCACCAATGCAGGAGGAGAAAGATCACGTGATAAAAGAGGTGGCATTCGACACCATGAAGAAGAATAAAATGGCCAACTACTCCACCATTAGTATCATGGATTTAAAAATTTCACCATTCATGCGAAAAGGTGGGTGGTTATGATATTCCTAATGACGGTGAATGAGAGGGATAGGAGACCAGGAGAATGAGAGACTGAGATCTTCTGACAGTGACAAACCTGATTGATAATTTAAAAGGTGCAATACTCACTAAAGAGTGATACATTGATCAGATACAGTGGTCTTTATCTCCATCTCTTCCCTCTCATTTAATGCATCTTCTGTTCATATCTGTGGCACAATCAGCATTTTACATCAGATAGTGTATGACAGGATTTTTAATTGCTGCCATTGCTAGAAGTACACTGGTAATCAGTAATCACAAAACATCTTAATTGGGTTTTTCCATATTGTATAATTCACAGATTATGAGAAGGTGCATAAGTTTATGATCTAATTGTCATGTATCCGGGCGGGTGTGGAGCGGAGATGAGGCATGGTGCAGGCACAAAGGACGACCCACTTGCAGCTCACAAGCCAAAAACAGGGTTTATTAAATGAACTAAAAACACTAACAAAACAAAGGACCATGAGGGCTCAAAAACAAAAGGGGATAAAGAAAGACTAAATTTACAAAGGGGGTGTAGCTGAGGAAACTATATCCGATGCTCTGAGCTAGGATGCCGGTGTCGATTGAGATGGAACCGCTGCCGATATCTGGTTAAGGATGTATGTAATCAAGAATCCTATTAAACATCACACCAGCCAAGAATGCTTATTTCCATTCACTTTATCTGATTGAGAGAAGTGCCCTGAAATGAAGTGGTTTCCCTAGAGCAAAACATAATACAGGCGTATAACAGATAACAGCAAAGTATGCTACCAGTCATTAACATACCACGTAATATACAATCTTTATAACTTGTGCAATGCTAAACGTGCAATATCTCCTAAGCATAACATAACAAATATAGACATTAATGCACGCGATACACAAAGAAACTCAAAGGATGCGGCATGGCTATAAACTGACATGAAATGGCGTCTATGCTAACTCCACGGCTAACAAGGATTAACATCCTAACAAACGGCAAGTACTAACTGAAAATAACAGATTACACCATAAGAAATTACTTACAGTCAAACACGCACTCCGAGGGCTAACAGAAATACTCATTTATATCAAACTGCAATTATAACGGAAGACTAAATAACTATAACTTCGTTCGGCTACGCTCCGCTGGCACCGCTCCGCTTCTGCAGTCCGTGTTACTAAGTAAGCAAGCGGGTTCTTCACTCTCAGGAAGATGGGCGGGGCTTATGACTGACAACCATTCCATCCGATAGGGGAGAGATAACTCGGGTAAGTCAGCGCGTCAAGTTCAAATAACAAATAAGAGGAGGAACATTTATAAACAATCCGGACTGGACGGAAGTTACTCTAAATATTTAAGACTCTTTTCTACAGCCGCCCTCAAATTTACATAGGAAATTTGCAATTAAAGAAGGAGTCAATTACGATCAGGCTAATGAAGTGTGTGTATCACACCCGTTTGTCAGGAAGAGAAGGAAGCTGGATTAGGCGAGCCACAGGTCGAGTGTAGCTCCGGTCTCGTACCTTGACCACAGCAGTCCTAGTCTTGCAATCCCCCCCAGGAACAACCTGAGTGACCTTACCAACTGGCCAAGAAGCTCTGGGTAACTGGGGGTCAACTATCATCACAGGAGTACCCAATTCTAGGTTGCTAACATCACGTTGCCATTTCTGCCGAGCTTGCAGACTGGGTAAGTAGAAGCGGATGAAGTGTCGCCAAAAGTGATCGGCCAGGACTTGGGAATGATGCCACCGACGTCTACTCAACAGCTCCCCATCAGGATACTCCACTTGAGGCAGGGATGGGTCCAGCCACCCCATGAGCAAGAGGTTTGGCGTAACTGGATCAACTTCTGCAACATCGGAAGAAACGTACCCAAGTGTGCATGAGTGTGATGTGGAGGGATGATTTAATGGACTTGATCTCTCTTTCCCAGCACCCGCCGAAATGTGGAGCGCTTGGTGGATTGAAAACAAATTTAATCTGCTGTTTGGTGAGTTCCTGTTGAAGCTGGGGGTGGAGAGCTTCAAAGGCTTCATTCAGTTCCCGTTCCCCCCCCCCCCCCCTAAAGTTAGTGCCTTGGTCGGATAACAGTTCAAAGGGCTTCCCCCTCGGAGCGATGAATCGCCGTAGGGCCATGAGGAAAGAAATTGCTGTCAATGCTATGCAGCAGATCCACATGTATGGCTCTAGTCGTAAGACATTTAAACACTATTCCCCATCTTTTCTCCAGTCTCCAAAACAGTGGACCCCAGTTTAATAAAACGCTGGTTTGCACAGTTGCAGCCGTGACATGGGTAGATCTGCCATCTGAGGAAAATCGGGCTTACCTCTCCACAGTCTGCAATTCACGCATCCTCGCTGGTGGTGGCGTACTGCTTCTCTTCCTCAGAGAATCCAATATCGTCGCCTCAGCTCTGCAAAAACTCGTTCAGGGCCAGGATGACACAGCCTCTCGTCATAATCCTGAATGATCAGCAGAGTGATGGGATGACGAGCATCAAGGATGACTGGGTGGATAGCGTCCAGCTCCAGTTCAAGTGTACGTCGGAGACGTCCTCCTACTCTGATCAGCTGGGTAGCTCTATCATACTCTGGAGCAAGATTATACAGACGACTGCTGGGAGAAACCTGATGACCTGCCTTGAGCTGAGTTAACTCTACTGAGAAGCTCTCCTGCTGTGCATGACGAAGTAGGACCATCTCCGCATCTCTGTACTCATCTGCTGTCGTGCGTTCTGCATTCCCTGCCGCCCCGTGCAGGGAGCTCACAGTAACTTGGAGGAGGTCGCTGAAAGTGTCAAACTGACTAATGTCTGGCAGGTCGGGGCAAGAGATGGGGGTTATAAGACCACAAAAGGTGGGTTTTTTTATTTCGTCCTTCCATTCGGCAGGGGTGGATGTTGGCTTTGCTGGATATTCTTCTGGGGGTCTGCTAACTCAGTGAGGGTCTTGCCACGAGTGATGTCATCAGCAGGATTATTCCTTGTGTCCACATAGTGCCATTGTTCTGAGCTGGTCAACTCTTGAATCTCAGCAACACAAGTGCCGACAAACACCTTAAACCTACATGACTCAGACTGCAGCCAAGTGAGCACTGTGGTTGAGTCAGACCACAGAATAACGTGACGGATTGGAAGTGTAAGTTCTTCAGACAGTACCTTAGCCAGCTGAGCTCCTGTGAGTACAGCACACAACTCAAGGTGGGGAATAGATATTTGCCTTTTGGGGGCCACCCTAGATCTTGCAGCCACAAACGCAACCTCTATCTTCCCCGTAGGACCCTGTGTTCTTATGTATTCGACTGAACCATAGACCTTCTCTGACACATCGCAGAACACGTGGATGTCTCTTTGACTTTCTGGTGTATCCAGTTCAGGGCTCACAAAACATCTTGGGAGGGTGATTTTCTGCAGATCAGGTAACATAAGAACATAAGAACTATACAAACGAGAGG